CATCTATTATGTCATACCATGTCTCAGTATTCCTATCAATATCCAACTAATTTCAACTACAAGTGAAACTTGTATACATATACTCCTCACGACAGAATATTGCAATGGTTCATGCAGCCTGGAAAACAGAGGTCTGTAATGATAGATTATTCCAACTACTGTAACATTTGTAAAATGGCAAATGTAAAAATAACTATTTTCATGTCATCCTAAAAAGTACACATGACAATACTGACTATATTTGACTACCAGCTACGTCTATAATATCACTGTGTTATATACAACGTTCACTGTACAGTCGTACATGTCACACAGACTGTGAGTTTAGCACTAAATCAAAACAATACATTAGGATTGTTGTTTGCTCTTTAATTCTACACGGCAGTGATCTGTAAATAATAATCTGGACCAGACAATCCAGTGATAAACAGCACAAGCATCAGACAATGCAACTGGAATATGATGACCTGCCTTAACCAAGTCTGCTAACCTGACCAATAAATCCTGTTAGTTGCCTCTTGCGAAAAGTATGGGTAGCTGAAGACAAATTCGAGGAATTCTTGTTGAGCCTAGAAACAAACTTGAGAGAAGCTTTATGATTTGATTGACCAAATAAGGCTTTTATGCTGCTCCTAGCAATATTGTAGTGGGAGAGAGAGAGGGACAAAGAGTGGATTCTCTCATACTTTATGTCAAGACCTTGATGGTTTACATGCTAGCATCTTCACAACATGGAGAGACAGCTTGCAGCATATAACTAAACACTAACCTACCTGAAAAATAAACTTCCTTTCTTATTTTGAAATGTTTCCTGGAATAATATAAATCAAAATGTTGAAAATAAAAGATGTTTTTGAAGTAATTCCCTTAATTTCAGAAAGGCTACTGAAAGTATGGACTGACCATGTAATTAGAACTATGAGCCCAAACCTTTAATAAATATTTTGCAATTTCCAAGAAATCTCTATCTTTTGGGAGGTAAAACTAAACATAAATTGCTCTTATTTCATTTTTCTGATTGTTATTTTGGCAGCAACCAGTAAATTATTTAACACCCCTCCCAAACTATATTGTCACCTACAAATCATTACCAATATTCTAATCACCAATAGCTGTACTTTACTTAGATGTGTTTGCACTCTTATAGTCATGAAGCTCAACTTCAAGAAAACATTTTGGAAAGAAATGGAATAAAGGATAATAATGAACATTTTTCACTCTTGGAAGAAAGGCTAATTCTACACTGTGCTACAAATCTTTCTGAGTAGTCTTGAAAAAACATTCCTGAGGTTATGATATGGGAACAGGGTGCTGGACAAGCAAATCCACCAGAGACCATATGGCACTGTTAAAACTACAACCTCATCAGACAATCAGGTGACTGAGTTTAGTTTGATGCTGCACTCAGCAATATTCCAGCTATATGGCGGTGGTCTGTAAATAATCAAGTCTGGACCAGACAATCCAGTGATCAACAGCATGAGCATCGATCTACGCAATTGGGATACAATGACATGTGTCAACCAAATCAGAGAGTCTGACCACCCTATCCTGTTAGTCGCCTTTTTCAACAAGCATGGGTTACTGAAGATCAATTCTAACCCGGATCTTCACAGGTGGAGAATCAGGTCAACATATACCGGTACCCTGTATAGTCACTCAGAACACTCTGTCCACATTTACATAAAACACATACAAGGGATTGTAGTTCACATATCTCTTTGCAATATTTACATATAAAATGTCCCGCATTCAGGAAACTCATTTAGGATTGCTGATTGCAATAGTGGACTTATGATAAAATAATTTCAGCATGTTTTCGGCTTACAATGTTTAAAGACTACCAACTACATCTATAATCTTGGTTTGTTTGCTGTTAATGCCACACTCAGCAATATTCCAGCTATATGGCAATGGTCTGTAAATAATCGAGTCTGGACCAGACAATCCACTGATCAACAGCATGAGCATCGATCTGCACAATTGGGATAAGATGAAATGAGTCAACCAAGTCAGCAAACCTGACCACCTGATCCTGTTACGACAAACATGGGTTGCTAAAGACAAATTATAACCCAGATCTTCATAGGTACACAAGCTTTTGATGACATCCAAGGAACCCTTCCTTACTTAGCTACTGGTACCTCTATCACTTCCATGATCCCGGTATTACTAAAGTCTAACTGGAGACAGTGAACATGTCTGTGGGGTAATAAAGTGTTGGTGCATGCCAAGAGTTTTTTCCTGTTTTTCAAAACTCGACCCATAAATGTTATAAGATCATATTTTTTTTGTGATGATTAAAAAGAACAGCTTATAATTACATTTTTAAAAACATTTTTGTGAGTATGTGCTGCATTTGACTTAACATAATAACATTACCAGAAGATATTTTGATATATATACCAATATTCATTTCACTGACAGACTCTGATTTTCCCTTCCAGATGCAATATAATGTACTGAGGAAAAATAATAAGGGAAAACTTCATCGCAGTGTTCCTTTATATCAGGGTTTTACATGACGCATGATTCCTGCGTATTTGACACAACAATTTTGTCAACGACTCTCAAAATACTATCATACGAGTCAAGCTTGACGCAAGTTTTATAGGTGGCCCTCACAATTCAGTTCAATAAAATCGATTTGATAAGCAAAAACTGATATTGTTCGATGATAGACTGACTTTTACAGAGCTGTCAGATTGTTCCAGAGAGAGGAGACAGTAATCCTGGCTGTTTGAATTGAACAATGATGTAGTTTCATTTGGTGGTGTGACATAGACGGTTTCATACTGAGAATGATAAACACAAAGAAATATTAAAATTCATGACTCCCAAATATTGAAAAAGACTCCCAAAAATAAATACTGTGAGTCACCATGACTCCCATGTTTAAAAGACTGTGTAAAACCCTGCTTTATATATTTTCAGATTTTCACCCACAGTGCAGTACAAAGTTGGAGAAGAAACCTGGAAAAGAATAAAGTGTGTGTTCCCTTATTTGTTTCCTTCAATATATATGATGATGATGATAAACATCCTTCGGTAAGTGAATGTTAAACAATGTAACCAGCACTATTCCAGCCATCTACAATGGCCTTTAAATCATCCCCACCATCAGTCTCTGATGACATAATCCTTGTCTTCAGCTATCAAGATGAGCGAGTTATATGGTGCTTTTAGCAATATTCCAGCAATATAACGGTGGGTGGACACCAGAAATGGGCTTCACTATTGTACCCATGTGGGGAATGGAACCCCAGCCTTCAGCGTGACGAGCGAATGCTTTAACCACTAGGCTACCCCACCGCCCCCTGTCAAGATGAATGAGGTGCTGGGACACGTGACACGATCAGAAGATTGTCTTCGACTATTAACAATCGTTTCAATAAAAAAACTGACTTTGATATTTTTTGTGTTTATGGAGATATAAACATAAAAACGGTGTAAAACATGCATCATTGCATAAACAGAAAACATTTCCTTCGTCACCCAGTTAAATGCCATCAATCATGATCAAGTTATTGTTTCACCTCTGTTGATACATCCAAGCTATTTATGTTCAGTGTGCAGACTTTTGCTTGCTCAGATCTGTCAAAATATATTTATGGAGCTCAAGCTCTCACAGTGAAAAGAGATGTCAGCCTTCTGAAATCAATGATTACTGTTTATGTTTAGAAATGTTTTGATACATGTATTTACATGTTTTCAAATTTTCAATTCTTAATCACTGCAGATTCATAAGCCAAATAAAATGTGAAGGCAGAGAAACATTTTACTGTCATTATAGTACTTGCAGTTTTGGGTTTCTGTATGTTAGGTGATGTCAACAGTAACTCGTCAAGTTGAACTGTGGTGTAGAATTACTGGTGCGCATTCACTGAAGACGATTTAAGCTATCATTAAAATTGTGAAGCTTGATATCTGTGCTTGCAACTGTCATGTTCTTCATCATGTATCAGGATATAAACATATTTCATCATGTCTTCGCTATCATCACATTTGGCAATGAAACAAATTTCTGTTGCAGTTAAATCATCTTTAATCAAACAATTATAACAATATCATAAAAGTGTAAAATTAAAGGGTGAACACAGACAATGAATGACCAAGCTGTTATTAAACCTCCAAGGACATTTCACTGCAGAAAAGAGGAATAGAAGTTAAAAGTCTTGTGTGTTGCATGTATATGTGACCAAGCTGTTATTAAACCTCCAAGGACATTTCACTGCAGAAAAGAGGAATAGAATGTGGCATGGTTAGGATACAGGAGGAGGAAGGGGGTGGAGGAAGGGGCAGGTGGGGTGGGGTTGTGGTGGTGTGTGTGTGTGTGTTTTGGATGCCACACTAGAGGGATGGTGGTTTAATGGACCTGGACAACAGCATGTCACAACATGTACCCACAGACTCAGGTAGGTGAGTGAGTGAGTAGGCTTTACACCACTTTCAGCACCATTCCAGCAACATCATGGCGGGGGACATCAGTAATGCGCTTCACACATTGTACCCATGTGGGGAAAAGAACCTGGGATTTTGACGAGCAAATGCTTTAACCACTAGGCTACTCTACCCCCCCTAGACAAACTCGAACCTGGGTCATCTGCATGAACACGTATACACTGACCACATCTGAGTGAGCCAGTGAGTTGAGTTTATTTCGATTTGGGCATTCTCTCATTCATATCACAGCATGGGATGGAATAGCTGAAAGACGACAGATGTATAAACTGAACACATCCTTGGAGTGAGCGAGTTGGGGTTTATTGGGGGGGGGATTCTCTCTCACAGCACAGGTTGGAATAGCTGAAAGCCATATAAAGACGACAGACGTATAAACTGAACACATCCTTGGAGTGAGCGAGTTGGGGTTTATTGGGGGGGGGATTCTCTCTCACAGCACAGGTTGGAATAGCTGAAAGCCATATAAAGACGACAGACGTATAAACCCAACACATCCTTGGAGTGAGCGAGTTGGGGTTTATTTTTTGGTGTGGGTGTGGTGTGTGTGTGTGTGTGTGTGTCTTAGGGTTGTTTAGTGGACAGACTGCCCAATAGGCTACACCATCTGTCTTAGAATACTGCAGGAGAGGTGCTGTTTGAACTAGTCTAGACTAGCCAGTCTTGTACTTCTTATAGTCTTATACTGAGATACCACGTCACAGTTAAACCATGGTTACCCCACTCATACAGTGTACAGTGTGAGACTCAACCGTTCCTTGACAATGACTTGCTTGTGTATCAGACAAAGACCAGCATTGCTAATGTCAGTTCTTAAAGTTGGGCCATGACAAAACAGAAAGTATTCCTCACGACATGGGTCATACACATTTTTTATTCAAGTCTTTTCTAATTTGGGGATTATTTCACACTAATGTTAATCAATGGTCTTCAATTAATTCAGAATCTCAAGAATGACTGGATTTTAAACAAAAGAGTTGCCTCCCCTTATTTAAACCTACTACACCATCATGGCTGCTTGTGAGTTTGTCAAAATCACTGACAAAAACTACACACAAAACATGGGCCCTCTAGAATATACTGTGTTAGCGTTAACACTATAATAAATGTGTGTTGAAATTTTGGAGTTATTATGATCCCAGCATTGTGCAAAAGGACCAAGGCTTCATTGCACAAGTGTTCTTAGTAAGATTATCGTAACTCTCTCACTTTTACATACGCTTATGATTGTCTTAGACCTACGATTGCTTTGTGCAACGGGCCCAGGTCTTTCTCAATTTGCTCTGGTTGAGAAACATTTTTTCTTGGCCTAATTATAACAGTTTTACGTGTGTTGTACATTGAAATAAGAATGATGGCCTACATTGAAACAGTTTTATGTTTGTTGAATGTGCAAAAGACTTGAATACAGAGATATGAGTGACAGAGAGACAGGTTATTTGTTCGAATGAGGTTAGATTCAATAAATATTCTTTACGGTTATTCTCACATTTAAATAAAACAGAAATGCATACAAAAGCACATCCAACACCAACAGATTCATTCCATCCTACAGACAGTATCATCTACTACCACTTGTACCAACAAGCATATAGGGTTCCTTGTCACATCAGGACAACAGCTAACAGTCATCTAGCCTACAACACTAAATATTGTCTTCCTCAGCTGCTGTTTTTCACATCCACACGACAAATCGGACAGGTGGCGGTGTTCTGGAAACAAAGAAATGACATCCTTATTTCACTGTTGTGTCTGTTTGTTGGCTGCTTGTGAGGTGAGGTGAAATTGGGTTTAACATCATACTTGAGAATATTCCGCTCATATGACGACGTGAATGCGTGTGTATGTGTATGTGCGGCTGCTTGTACTAGCCCACACTGAAGCTGGTTTTATAGTGCTAGCTCAATGAGATACCATGCCGCAGTGAAGCATGAATACCCCACTCAGACACATTATACTGACTCCGAGCCAACCAGTCCTTGTTGTACCCATTAATGCCGAGCGCCAGGCAGGGACCAACAAGTACCATATTTTAACGTCTTTTGGTATGACGCAGTCGGGGATCGAACCCACGACCTTCCGCTCTCTGGGCGGACGCTCTAACCACTACACCATGGAGGCGGTCGGCTGTTTGTAGGTTTACAGTGAGTGAGTATGGTTTTACGCCGCTTTTAGCAATATTCCAGTTATATAATAGCGGGGACACCACAAATGGGCTTAACACATTGTAGCCATGTGGGGAAAATAACCCAGGTCCCTGGACCACAGACACCAGTGACAATGTCAGAAAAGAAAAGGTATTATGTCACTTTTAGCAATATTCTTGCATTGTCATCTCTCCCTCTCCCTCACTCACACACACACACTCACACACTCACTCACACACACACACACACACTGTTTGGAGTTTAGGAGTATGTCAAACTGAGTACAGGTTGGTGAAACTTACAGCAAAACACACAGCCTCATTTGAAGACGTCATGAACTCGATATCAGCCTTTTGTCTATACACGGTTGGTGAAACTTACATAAACACCTAGCCTCATTCTTGGTCTCACTTTAAGCCATTTATCTATACAAGGTTGGTGAAACTCATGGAAACACCCATAACCTCATTCTTGAACTCACCTTAAGCCATTTATCTATACAAGGTTGGTGAAACTCATGGAAACACCCATTACCTCATTCTTGGTCTCACTTTAAGCCATTTATCTATACAAGGTTGGTAAAACTCATGGAAACACCCATAACCTCATTCATGAACTCACCTTAAGCCATTTATCTATACAAGGTTGGTGAAACTCATGGCAACACCCATAACCTCATTCTTGAACTCACCTTAAGCCATTTATCTATACAAGGTTGGTGAAACTCATGGCAACACCCATAACTAACCTCATTCATGAACTCACCTTAAGCCATTTATCTATACAAGGTTGGTGAAACTCATGGCAACACCCATAACCTCATTCATGAACTCACCTTAAGCCATTTATCTATACAAGGTTGGTGAAACTCATGGAAACACCCATAACCTCATTCATGAACTCACCTTAAGCCATTTATCTATACAAGGTTGGTGAAACTCATGGCAACATGGCAGTATGCGTAGACTGTCCCCCTCCTGGTAGTCACACATGCAGATGAGGCAGTCTGTGGTGTCGTTACCGCTGCTGTCACTACTCTTGAACTTGCGTATAGGGAGACGGTTCAGCTCGGACTTTGTCATGCCTTTCTGCTTTACTTCACCCAGGGACTCGGCCAACTCCAGGAGCTCCTGGAAATACAGGGAAGATGAAGCAATCGATAATTAGAGAATACCCAAAGAAGTACATAGAAACTACAGATAATGCCTTGAGTTAATCAAGGTAATTATACCTGACAATACATTCCCAAGATTAAAACCCTTAACTTAAATAGAGTATTCTGTATTTATATGAATACTCAGTAGTGTCATTCAAAAAGTAAAGCAAAGAAAAACGTATGGAACAGACAAAAAACTTCACTGACGTCAGCCTATTGTTGAGACACAAAACACATTACATCATACTGTTCTGAACAATATGACATAATAGTCAAGCGAGACTGACCACCTGATCCCGTTAGTTGCCTCTTACAACAAGCATGGGTTGCTGAAGACTTATTCTAACCATGATCATAACAGACAGCTAAAGTACAAACTACAATGTCATGTAGAAATGTGTCATGACTAGTGTTTTGTAATCTCTTCTTTACACAGAAATATTGATAAGTACAAATTAAAAGGCACCAGTGTATTTCTCTTTATTACAAGGACAAATAATGATAAAGCAATCTAGCATCTCTCCATTCACAGTATTCAGAGATGCCAACACCAAATCACTGAAATGAATTCAGGCAGTTATCAACATATAAAAAATTCACATTATTGTATTCATTCTGCCCTAAATATAATGGTTTGTATGTCTGTTGATTATGACAACACACCTCGTAGTCATTCCCATCGCCAACAGGACTGTGTAGATTCCGTAGGAAGCGGCCACCATTGTTTCCCCTCCTTCGTCCACGGCGCTGTTAACAAAGCATTTAGTCATTAGCTAGTCTGGAATGTACATCAGTATGCAATCAGAGGTCCTACTTTCAGACATTGTCACTGAAGTTTAAGCAGTGTGCCATTCCTTTTTTCTTTCAGCAGCTTAGTTATCCTCTGTCTTTCTTTCATGTATTTGTCCCTTGGAGACTCTGAAGTGCTCTTTCAGACGGAATCCTTTTACTGCCTCTGTCCTTTCATTGTGAGTTGCTCCTGTATCTCACAAGTTAAACTCCCTCAAACGGTATAGTTATGAATTCAGGGTTATCTCATAGGTTCCTTGATCAGCTACTGTTCTCAAAGTTCCAGTTGTTTGGGGCTGCATATTGTACCTATTGTGTTTATTTCTCATGGCAATCAAAAGGAGGTGAGTGAGTTTAGTTTTATGGCACACTCAGCAATATTCCAGCTATATTGCAGCTGTGTGTAAATAATCAAGCGTGGTCAGACAATCCAGTGATCAACAGCATGAGCATCGATCTACACAACTGGGATACAATGACATGTGTCAACCAAGCCAGCGAGCCTGACCACCCGATCCCAGTCACCTCTTACGACAAACATGGGTTACTGAAGATCAATTCTAAAGACTGGAAAACAAGACTGTGGGTCTCAATTTGTATTTCAGCTTAGATGAGGAACATGCAACCTTCACAAGGCATTGTGTCAACGAAGAGGGCTTCATTCAATAGTAATCACAGATCTTCACAGTTCTTAAACGAGATGACCTGTGAAAGTCTGGGTTAGAATACTGATCTTCAGTAGCCCATGAGTGGCGTAAGAGGCAACTAACGGGATCGGGTGGTCAGGCTCGCTGACTTGGTCAACATATGTCATTGGTTCCCAATTGCGCAGATCGATGCTCATGCTGCTGATCACTGGATTGTCTGGTTCAGACTCAATTATTTACAGACCGCCGCCATATAGCTGGAATATTGCTGAGTGCGGCGTAAAACTAAACACACTCACTCTTAAACGAGGTGAGGTAAAATGGGGTTTAACTCTGCGTTAAAGATTATTTCCAATATACAGTAACATGCATGTGTGATGCTGCTTGAAATACTCAGGACTATGTTGGTTTTCAGGTGCTTGCCGGCATACCCTAGGTTAACATGGATACACCATTCAGACAGTAAGACTCATAGCCAACCAGTCTTTGTCATATTTGCTTTAATGGGAGCACCAGAACTGGAACAAAAAGTACCATCTTTGAATAAGGCTAGGGACTGAACATATCTCAACTCGGGCAGACTATCTGTCTGCTAGACCTCAATGATAGTTTCCAAAGTACAGTGAAGGGATGAATACAAATAATTTGGGATTACACTTCCTCAGTAAAGTTGTACTCTTGTAAGGATGAGTCGCATCCGGGATTCGAACCTACAGTCTCAGAGTCAGGCTCTTAATCAGGAACACACAAAGCCAGCCATCTAACCCACTCAGCCACAGTTGCTTCCACAAAAATGTAATTTTCTGAATAAAATTGATATTTTATACTTATCCTGACTCATGCTCTTTTGCTTGTCTCCTTCTTCTTGCGAACACAGTGGAACACTTGTATCTCCCAATTGAAGTTCCCTTCAATGTAAAATCACTAATTAGTACTCCCGAGTTATCTGTCCCCTCAAAGCGTGGGAACGAGGGTGCCACCTCCTGCCATGTGCCTCACTCTCTCCTCATATAGTGAGCCCAACACTTGAATTATCAGGGAAATCCAAAGTGTTATGTGGGGAGGATGGGAGGGCTTACCTCATGAGTCAGGATAAGTATAAAATATCAATTTTATTCAGAAAATTACATATTTTTCCTTATCCTGACTCATGCTCTTTTGCTTGTAGAATCCGACGGATACGGAGGTGGGAATACAGAATACTTTGGATTTAGATAATTAGTGATTTGTACTGTAATGACTGTAATAACCCTTATGGGAACTTCATAAAGGCACTGAATTGATGAATTCCTGCTGCTAACTTATCAGCTGCCATATATGGGTTATTACAATATAAATATTATGATAAAAGTATATACAACATGAATACAATGCTTAAGACTAATAGACTCTTAAGCTTGTTAATATGATAGCATAAACTCCTTAGAGATTGTTAGCTAATATACTTTTATGATATAAACATAGTACTGAGCTTAAGATATGAATAAACTTAATAAATACATGCTCATTTTTTATGTATAACATTTTGCAATCAACAGACATCATAACATGTCATGTGTTCAAGTATCACACCTGCCTGTCTGTGTAATTACATAATGTGACTGAGACCTAACTCGGGCCATAAATCAATGCGCTTTGTTTATGGTGTATAGCCTGATTGGTGTTAAGTTCAAATTGCATGTGGTCAGTGATCGCAGTTGTGTATTGAATATTGTCATTAGCGACAGGCAGGCAGACACACAGGTGTCAATAAAACAAGACATTGAGTTTTGTCTGTGACAGCGACATATCTATATCACAGTTAGAAATTGTGTCAACGCTAAATAATGACATTGCTTTTAAGTATCGAACTGAGAAAGTGACTCGGTAAGAAGACCGCGGTGGTGAAATAGACAAATGAAATTATATAAACAGTTTATTTACTGTCATAACATATAAAAGCTCAAGCCTGTGAGATATCAACAAACATTAGAAAAATAGCTCACACCAAGACCTTTAAGCTACATATATAATAGCAAAAACTCCTTAGAGTTTGTTAGCTAATATACTTTTATGATATAACCATAGTACTGAGCTTAAGATATGATTAAACTTAAGCTAAATATACAATAGTAAAAACTCCTTAGAGTTTATTAGCTAATATACTTTTATGAAGTAAACATAGTACTAAGCTTAAGATATGAATAAAACTTAAGCTATATATATAATAGCAAAACTCCTTAGAGTTTGTTAGCTAATATAATTTTATGATATGAGTATAGTACTGTGCTTAAGATATAATTAACTTAAGCTAAATATATAATAGCAAAAACTCCGTAGAGTTTGTTAGCTAATACATTTTATAATGTAACCATAATACTGAGCTTAAGATATGATGAAACTTAAGCTAAATATATAATAGTAAAAAACTCCTTAGAGTTTGTTAGCTAATATACTTTTATGATATAAACATAGTACTGAGCTTAAGATATGAATAAACTTAAGCTACATATATAATAGCAAAAACTCCGTAGAGTTTGTTAGCTAATATATTTTTATGATATGAGTATAGTACTGTGCTTAAGATATAATTAACTTAAGCTACATATATAATAGCAAAAACTCCGTAGAGTTTGTTAGCTAATATATTTATAATGTAACCATAGTACTGAGCTTAAGATATGATTAACTTAAGCTAAATATATAATAGCAAACTCCGTAGAGTTGTTAGCTAATATATTGTATGATATAATAACCATAGTACTGAGCTTAAGATAATAAAAGAACTTAAGCAAAATATATATAGCATGTAGCTATTTAGTACTGTTATAAGATAAGTAGAAATCTGTAAGATTGACTTATCTTCTCCGAGGAACTGTCAACTGTTGTGCGAGGACCATGGGACCGAAATGGTGGATACCTGAGACGTCCTCGGTGGTGATATCTCTCAGATAGTGGTTGGCAAACACCATATCGGATCTCCAGAAACAACCCTCCATTATGGTATTCAAAGAGCAGATGCCGTGTAGAGCAAGTGTAAATGCTAGCGCTCTAATTTCATGAGGATTAGAAGCTCTTGGAGGGTCGAGTCCTGCAGTTTTGTAGGCACGTAGTATGACAGTTCTGATCCAAATGGAGATAGTAGTACGTGAGACTTCAGTCTGCGTAGCTGTTGATAGAGGAAAAATAATCTCTTGAATTTTTCCCTCCTCTGTTTGGATCGGTGGAGATATATTTTCAGTGCTCTTACTGGCCATAGTGATAGATCCATCGTATCATGAGGTCCAAGTATATCATCAAAGTGTGTTCTCTCGTAATCCAATGCGTGAATCTCTGACATCCTGGCAGCCGTAGCTTGAGATAACAGGAACGAGGTTATCTGAGTCAGAGATTCAACGATGTAGATTCTAACGGTTCATAAGCCTCACTTGTGAGGTGTTGGAGCACTATATTCAGATCCCAAGCTGGAGCGTGAAACTTCCGTTTTTAATCCTCCAATCGGAATGCTCGTAGCAAGGCGAGTAACTCTGGGGTTTGGTTAACTTGACGCCCGTTCTCATAGTTATGACAGAGCTTATTGCTGCAAGATAGGTGGACAAAGTTGAGCCTTTTAGATTCTTAGTCTGACGTAGATAACATAAGTAGTCAGCCACTTGAGGATGAGTAGCATATCTAGCTGTAAATCCTTTCTTTGCAGCATGATTGACAAAACTGTGCCATTTGTCATCGTATAAGTTGCGAGTTGAGTTACGCAGGGCAAGCGTGACTGCTTTTTCCGCTCTGGCTGAATAACCTCTTATTCAGACACGCCTTGATACAATCCATACGTGAAGTTGGAATATTTCTGGCTTTCCGTGCGCTTGTTTGGTGTGCGGATGTATTAACAGATTCGAGCACTCTGGAAGATGTAGTATTGGTTGTCCGATTCCTTGAATAAGAGTTGGAAACCACGTTCTCGCTGGTCAGTAGGCCGCGACCAAATTCAGATGGAGGCTCTGCGTTTGACTGATTTTGAGTAAGACTTGTGGGATTAACGCTGGTGGCGGAAAAGCGTACGCGTTGAGTCCTTCCCACGATATGCTTAGTGCGTCCGTTGCCAATGCTAGTGGGTCTGGAACTGGCGATACGAATGTTGTCAGTTGTTTGTTGAATCGAGTGGCAAATAGGTCTATTAGTGGAGTTCCTATTTCTTGATAATTTGAGTGAATATCTCTGTATGGAGCATCCATTCTGTCAGCGATGGTAGGTGTGGCCAAGAGAGAGCGTCTGCTATTACATTCTTTGCTCCTGGAATGTGACATGCTCTGACATGTATGTTGAGATTGTCGATTAAATCGAACAATTGAAAACATAGAGTCAATAGGTTCGGGGACCTGGTTGAGCTTAGTTTGTTCACATAAAACGCCACTGTCGAATTGTCTGTGTGAATCATCAACTGAGCATTCTGTAGTAAGTTGCTCCAGTGCATTATGGCGTTTATCACTGCTTGCATCTCTAGCAGATTTATGTGTAATTTGCTCTCTTGATTGCTCCATAGCCCTGATGCCGTCCTGTTGGCGAGATGGGCTCCCCAACCATGTAGTGACACATCTACGTAGAGATGTGTTATCGATTCTGGCTCTATTAACAAGACGCCTAGGTCTCTAACCTCATGAAGGCAGCCCAATCATGAAGGTTCAGATTAACTGGACTGTAAGGAGGTTTTGCTCGTTCACTGATATGTTGTTGTCACTTGCAACCTATGTCTTGAACTGTGAACTATGATCGACCTCTGCGTAGGGCGTTGTCCATCGCGGTCCAATCAGAACAAGGCATTTTGATTCTGTAATGTACCCGCGCTGTGATGTCACCGGTGTAGCAGGAAAAGGAACCTTGTATTATTTAGTGCCGTCGTTGATATTAGATCAATCGTCAGTCTTGTCCGTAGCTTCCCGAAGTTACACGAGTGACCACGTGTATCGAGGGTTAATGGTAAACGTGCGAATCTTTCGGCGCGAATTACCTCGCTCTGTAATATTAATGCTGGGTAGGTTATTTTCCTGGCTGTTGTGAATGTAACTTCAGTCTTGAAGATAATGCCGACTTCCTTATATATAGGCTCAATAAAACTTGCAAGTTGTCAGCTTGTAGACTGCATACATCAATGTAGCGTCATAATTGTAGAATTAAAGCTGAACTTGTTGTACATATTTCTTCTCAGGAAATCGTTGACGATTATGTGTTTTACTTGCTGTAACAAGGCTGCTGCTCAATTCCGTTATTGAATTGTCTGCAGATCTGCGTAATGGTCATGCATGTAGATAATCGTATCGTGGTCCGGGATTGCATACCTAGCAATATATACGGAATAGGTGATTCCTGTGAAGATCTGCGAAACGTCGTTGATGCCCTTGATGTAGGTAGTCGGCCTGAAGATCCTTAATTAGGCTCTTCATCTGTAAAATAGTACTTCGCGTAACTATATAACGCTCTGTTGATAAAATAATACAGCGACGTTCTGCGTTGTAAATAGCCTGTGCGAATGCCTTCGCGTAGGCTTGTAGACGGCATGTGGCATACAGTTGATAGACAAGTACTGCGATGTCTCTGCTTCGCTGGATACTTGTGTGTAAATCGGCGAGGGGATCGACGTGGTGAATAACCCGACGAACTGTGCTTGTAGGGTGACCTGTAGTTTCGCTAAGGTCCTAATGAATCCCTCGACAACTATAGGACGGAGATGTCTTGAACGGACTGACGATTGGCTTCTATAGGGAGACCTTCGTGGAGCTTCCTTGGCGAACGATGGTGGCTTCGTATAGCTCTCGGTGAATCCCTTATAGATCTTCTGAATGAAGATGACTTGGAGCCACTTAACCTTGGTGAAGGCCTTCGTGAAGGTAGCGAGTCTGAGTCCGACTCATTAGATAGGAGCTTGCTTCGCGAACGACCTCTGTGTTCTACAGGGTCTGAGCTCGGTGAAGTACTCCTCCTCCGTGAAGCCTTCCGCGAATGGTGAGGATCTAGGTCCTTCGTGGAGGCGGACTGGGACGTCCTTCGCGAAGGCTTCGATACGGGCTGGGTTGCCCTTCGTGGAGGCGCGTTTGTGGGCTCTGGGGCCCTACGCGAAGTCATAGCGGGCTCTGGGGCCCTACATGACTGATTATGGGTTGGGCTCTGGGGCCCGCGGCTCTGAGGCCTCTGTAAACCGTATCGGTCTTCAATCAACATCATAATCTGGTTGACCAGGTCGTCTGGGACGGTCTGCGCTGACGTTGAGGCTGCCCTCTCTGTGGTAGCGACGGGACCCTCAGTTAGAATCTCAGCCGTCAGCGTAGGCATCTCTAGTTGCGTGTTGATCTGCGCTGAAGTGACGGTAGCCGATACTGGTCGCTTCTTATGCCGTACATCTGGAATGATAATCGGAATGTCATCATCATATAAACACAATTCTGATGAAAAGTTTTTTATTAGCCTTCGTGGGTTTCCCTTTCGACGAAGCTGTAGCCCTGGGGGTGCGGAGCGTACGTAATGACGACGTGGAAGCTCTCCTAGTCTTAGACTGTGATGATGGAATGTCCTGGGATGCAGGTCGCTTCTTGGATATAGCGGACTGCGTCCCACGCTTCTCCCCCGAAGGTAACTCAGGCGGAACACCAGACGGTAGAGGGTCGTCCGCCAACAGTTGACAGGGTATATCTGACTCTGATCTATCAGCCATGACTGAAGATTGTTTCCGAGATCTATCTGCTGCACGTCTCAAGACGTAATATAAATATTTATCAAAGGCAGAATTAGACAATTTAATACATAAATTGCAGCGTGAAACAATAGAGCATGGCGTTGTACAACTAGGGCATATTAAATGCGGATCGGCAGCAGAGAAACGTAATTTACAAACAGTGCAGACCCTCATTAACGCAATCTGCTGAGCAAACACGGGCGAACCGTGAATAAAGCAGCAGAAACACGAATAAATATCAATGCATGTTGAATAAGGATACTAGTTACACCTCTATAGATGAATATAAGAGGTAACAAAATAAATATAATTAAAGGATATAGTGTGTAGGGAGACACAGGCGCTCTCACGTCCTGCTCACTGGGCGAACAAAGAGAGAGTGAGGCACATGGCAGGAGGTGGCGCCCTCGTTCCCGCGCTTTGAGGGGACAGATAACTCGGGAGTACTAATTAGTGATTTTACATTGAAGGGAACTTCAATTGGGAGATACAAGTGTTCCACTGTGTTCGCAAGAAGAAGGAGACAAGCAAAAGAGCATGAGTCAGGATAAGGAAATATATGGAAGTCTGACTACTAGTAGTATAGACCACATACTCTGTGTACCCCTCCGACAAGTGTATATTGGCACGGCTCCCATGACTGAAAGCTATAAATATGTGCTGTTTACTGAAGAAATGTAATCCCAAATATAACATACTTTACATCTGACCACTTTCATGCCATTGTGTATTAATAATAAACATATATTTACACAATGGTCATGTTACGAATCATGACATGTTAGCGTGTCCTTGACAAAAACTACAGATTCTTTAACTGCATAGTGATCTCTGGTCCAGCTTATACTCACAGTGACAGGGGAGTTGTCTAGAAGAGCCAGAATGTGTGCTTCCATTAGAGCTGCAACAGAACATCAGTTCTTTCAATTACAGACATCATGGGTAGAAGATTCGTTTCTATAGATAACATTGCACTCAGCACTATTCCAGCTATTTGATAACATCCTGGACCAGACACTGTGAGCTGCACCCAATCAAACATGTCACCAAGCCTGATCAATTTATCCACTTGCAGGGATTCAATATTGACCCAGAGTTGCCATGGGAAAAGAGTACATTCTCAAACCCTGAAGCACCAAAACAGTTGGGGAAAGAAGCTATATCTGCCTGTCTTTGCATATTAAACATAAACTTGTTAAATGTTATGGGTACAAATCCTTCCCATTTTCCTGATATTTGGATGATTTATCCTGTCTCACACTCCATCCACAGATTTTATTTTGAGTTCAAGTTTGCTCTGGGTTCACTTGACATGACTTGCAATAATAATGGATTATCAGATCTTGATTGAAACAGTGAGTGAGCTATGGTTTTACAACGCTTTTGGCAATAATTTAGCAATATCATAGTGGGGGACACCAGAAATGGGCTTCACACATTGTACCCATGTGGGGAATCAAACCTGGGCCTTCCGGCATGACAAGCCAACTCTTTAACCACTAGGCTATCCCACCGCCCTTGAATGAAAGAGGTACCCAATAGGGGCAGAGATTTCATGAGAGAGGTCTGTCCGTGCACGCAGCCTCTAAGTGAAGCATTCATGTAAGACATAACATAGGAAGATCATCACCTAGAGGATGGTCAGACCCAGGAGGAAAGCGTCGAGCACCATGCTGGAACATAGGATGCTTAAATACAAGATAGGAGTCATTATTGGGTGTAAACATGGAAACATATTTTGAATCATGGTAAATATAGAGCATGAAAGATCCTGAACAATATGGAGCATGGTTGGTCTGGGAATCAATGAGCATGAGAAAAGGAACAAGACAAAACAAGTGACATATTGATATATCACTAGTCAAACATATCAGAGTGACAAATAATGATAAAGATTACAATGGAATATGCAACCACAACAACATTTACTATTTAACATATTCAACAGAATATTATACTCAGCAGGAAAATCACAGCATAGGACAAGATGCATAGAACATGAAGAATCGGTCGTTTCAAGTTCAAATAGTTAAGTCCACATATAATTTTGGGCAAGTGTTTCCTGTAATTATATCCATACTGACAAAATTGGAAAGAAAACAAATTAAACTTCCAAAATTTCAGATGACTGGGGCAAGGAGGCTCATGGCCATGTGAGCGAAGATTATTGCATCAGATAAGCAACCTTGCAGCTACTAGTGAGGTGAGGGGGCTGCTGAAGATCACATTCTCACTCACATCTTTGCGATGAGTTGAGAAGAGGTGAAATGAGGTGAAACTGGGTTTAACATAACATTTAAGATCATTGTACATATTTCTGGCTGCAGGTACTAGCTTGGTTTTATGCCAGTTCTACAGCACTAGCCCACCAGTGAAAACTTTGTCACAAGTCTTCAGAGTTCGTAGCTTGTCCAGCTTAAACAACACAAACATGTTTACCATGATTGGTTTTTGTTTGTTTTTTTAAACATATTTTATTCATTCAAGAAAAGGATTGGGCACAAGTTATCCATCTCAGAAAAGCCCTCTACGGATAATTACACAATTCATCTTACAACAAAGTACACAAGTGACAGACATAGGCTAGGATATGTACAACAGATGTTAACTGAGAAAGCGATTTTGTTTGAGAGATATAGATATGTACATATTTGAAAACATTCTGGTTGTCAGTGATTGGGAGACCTGCATTGCCTTGTAAGATAAGATTAATATCAATCAGTGTTCTATTTTTGACAATATGTTCTAAAGATTTTAACAGTTTATGAATAGTATACAATGGACATTCAAGGAAGTAATGAAAAACTTTCTCACATCTATGGCCACATTACCATGATTACACTTGATGTCAGTTTTATTCCAGTTAAAATTTATAGCAAACTTCAGCCATTAAGAATTGGTTAAAAATCACAGCCCTTAAATGGTACATATTTATGGTTTGCTTTGTTGGTTTGTTGTTTAAAGCCGCAATCAGCAATATTCCAGCTACTGTAAATCATGAAATTAATGCGAGCATTTTATTAATGCGAACAAATGTGTCTGTACTTTTCTAGCATTATTATAATGACGCATTTCAGTCTGATCATGTCTACTTTTGAGAACTTATTAAAAGACAGAAAACATAAATCTGTTGACACTACACATTACACCAATACAGGTCACTTCCTCATTACAGGTATCTCAAGCCACATGTAATTATCACTTGTTACAATCACTGGTCATTGTTTAAAGTCACTCAAGGACATCAGCCAGACCAGACATTCGTCAGCCAATTGTTTGTTGTACCTTGGTAGATGACTTATGTCTTTCAAGTCGGATCACGTTTATACATGTTGTCATAAGACAAGTAGTAGCAAGCAATCACGTAATCAAAACATTGTCAGCTCATTTCCATTCATTGCTTAACAAGCTCATTTCAGGTTATTTGGTAAATAACAAGTGTGAAAAGAAAAAGAACAACAGGTGTCACATTTTATCATCAACACAGATTCCTGAGCTCGCATTAATTTCGTAACGCATTTTAGACTACACCCTTGCACTCGCATTAAATTTGTGACGCATTAATTTCATGATTTACAGTATATTGAGATGGCATGTTTATGAGGAATACCACCATTTTATTTGTACTTTACAATATACCACAGAACCATAAGGATTCTGTATGACAGTATTTACCTCAAATCCTGGCCCATCAACAACAAGTTCCTCATAAGAGGCTTCCTCTGGCTCTGCTGCAACCAACAACAGTTAAAATATAGGATGTGCTTCAGATATAGAACTTGACAAATATAGGAAAGGAATTGCTCTTAAAACCTGAACAATTATCAGTGACCCATGTCAAAGAACTTTAAAATTACTCAAAATTTATTTGACCATGGCTTGCCTTGTGGTGATGTTTAGAATCAGATTTGAATTTTGTGAGTACTCCTTTTTAGACACAACTGTGGGTGTGTATGTGCAGTTTTACTGCCTTTGAGTTTTCATGAGATTACCTCAAAGCACAAGATGGATGGATAACAAGCAAAGAGTGAAGTTCAAATGAATTACAGTCAGATAAAGTAAAAAGTAATCTGTACCTCTTTAACGAGTAACTAAAAGTACAGTCCAGATACATTTCTATTAAGAAATACATGTAAATCCAAGTACATATGCTGTAGCTCACCTTATATTTCAGGAAATCAAGCCGCATTAGTAATGAATTAGAATATGTTTTAAAAAACATACCTGTATTTTCAGTGCATGTATTTGAAATTACCCAATTTCAAATTTTCAAAAGTTAGTAGAATTTGAATGTTCTAATGACAATTGAGGTAAAACACAATGGCCTGTTCATGTCATGTACCTGCTGCAGCTCCCCTGCGTCTTCTGATGACTGGCTGTCGGTTGCTGTTGTAACCACGGCGACGGACAGGACTACGACAATACTGTAGGAATGTTGGGGAGAGTGCTGGTGGACATGCTGCCTCCTCTGCTCCAAATGCTCCTGCGTGGTCCGACTGTGCAAAACCTGCATCTGCTTGATGGAGGGACATTGCAAACTCCTTGTCCATCTCCTCCTGAAGGTCAAGGTCACATAGCCTTCAGATGACATAAGTGAGTGAGTGAGTGAGTAAGTTTAGTGTTATGCCACACTCAACAATATTCCAGCTATTAGACGGCAGTCTGTAAATAATCGAGTCTGGACCAGACAATCGAGTGATGAACATCATGAGCATCGACCTGCGCAATTGGGAACCGATGACATTTGTTAACCAAGCCAATGAGCCTGACCACACATGTTAGACGCCTTTTACGACAAGCATGGGCTACTGAAGGTTCACTCTAACCCAGACCTTCATGGGTAGATGACACATAGTACAATGGATACAACAACAAGGCATTCAAACACACAAAGATGTACAATTCTAATACAGTACAGTAGAACTAATTTCTTGAAATGCATCGGTAACTATAACAATGACTGTTGTTTGATGCCAGTCAACAATAAATCTGCTCTATCACATTGACCAGAATATAATCTGGCTCAACAAACCAGTGGTCAACAGCATGAGCAATGATCATCATTGTTGGTGTTTGACAACAAGCAGCTAGGTCACACATGATAACTATCCTTATCACAGCTGGCTCATATGGTTGTTTATGGTTGTCATATACGTCCCTTAGCAATGTTCTAGCTATACATTGGGAGTCTGTAAGTAACCAAGTCTAGACCAGACAATCAAGTGATTGACATCATGAGCGTTTATCTACTTAACTGGGATACAATGATACATGTTGACCACCTGGTCCCACTACTTGGCTCTTATGACACGCATGGGTTACTGAGGAGCCAGTCCTCCCTGAAATCCATCTCATGTATGGATTACTGATAAAATTTCATCTCAGATGAAAATATTCCAAACACTATTCTCATCAAATTAAGACGTAACTACAGGGACGAAAACGACCAATGCACTAGCAATCACATACAAAAAGATTTCGTGATGACATCTTACCTGCAACCTGCGAGCATACTGTTCATCATCCTCCATTTGTCTCACTAGACTCACAGCCTCGTCCGCGTCATTGCTGACTGACACCTCCGACATCAGCCGCGTTGTCGTTGGCGAGATACCGTCATCCAGAGCTGCTAAATTAGTGTGAAAACTTTTACACATGACTGCTGTTTTGAGACTTGACTGGAAGCACTAGTTCTATGAACGATATAATTATAATACCTCTTAACAGTAAACTGCATCATTAGTTCCTTTATTTGTTGTGAAGCACCACACTCAGCAAAATATTTACAAACCTGTAGAGGTTATGAATTCTTTGAAGAAAGTCCTCCGTTGGGTACATATATGCATTAAAATGGCCATTTTAAAATACCTATGACAGTTGTAACAATATTTCAATAAAATATTTTACCAAACAAAAACCTCGTTTTGTTTAGTTTAGCCATTCACAGGGCCCCCTACAGCCAAGAGCAGGTAACTCTTACCTCGTACCTCACTTATCATGCTGAACGTGTCAGACAGAATGGGGGGAGGTGGGTGGCCGTACCCCAAGGAGGACTTTCTTCAAAGAATTCATAACCTCTACAGGTTTGTAAAATTCTTTTTCAGAAGAAGTCCTCCTTGGGGTACATATAAGCATAAGACAGACTCCCAACGATGGCGAGTCAGGCGGTATTCTGTCTGGCTAACATAGTTCATCTAGTTCACAGACGAAGCCGAGAGAGAGAGAAAAACACACTTACCGAGTCACGTGATCGCTGATGTCAATCAGGCGGGGGTGTGGCAAGGCGGGGTAGAAGGAGCCTAGCTTATATGCTTCTCCTGAAATTATAATGACGGACGTAAGTCCCACCCCCCAACCATCAAAATGGGAAGGAATGTATGAGCAAGTCCTAAATATTCCACTCATAATCCCAAACCAGTGAAGCGTGGTGCAGGGAGGAAAAACAGTGGATATAGCGTATAACGCTAGAGCCAATAAAATTGGTAAAAAACACCACCAATATGATACCACACCGATAAAAATTGTGGAATTTTTATAACCGACACCAGGAAGTAAAAACAGTCGTGTGGCTAGAGAGTCACGACACTGCCCACTGGTGAGAACTGTCTGGCCAAACCGAGCATGTTCCCGTGAGTGTTTGTCCAGCTGATAATGGCTGTACTCGCTCGGATCCAAATAGCCGCTAAGGAGATCTCCTCAATGGGCAGTGCCGCGGCATATGCCTTTGATGTAGCCACTGCCCTAACCGAATGAGCTTTTAACCCATCAGGAATAGTTAACCCTTTGTGAGTGTAACTCATACAAATGGCAGAGACAAGCCGCCTAGATCTGGTCTGCTTGTTCGCTGGAAGACCAGCCTTACCACTGCCATAACAGCAAAACAGCTGCTTATCTTTCCTGATAGCAGCCGTTCGTTTGATATAAGCCTTGAGAGTCTTACGGACATCTAAGACGTGAGCACGTCGAAGAGAGGTACCGGACGATCGAGGCTAAGTGAAAGCTGGCAGTTCAATAGCCGGCTTTATGTGAAAGGCACCTGCGATCTTAGGATGGTAAGAGTCTGGCAACCGAATACTGACTCTGTCTTTGTGAAAGACAGTCAGAGCAGGATCCGCTGACATCGTGGATATCGCCTACTCGCTGGCCAGATGTTACCGCCACAAGAAAGGCAGCCTTCCAACTTAACAGCTGGAGTGAAAGAGACAACAGATCGTAAAAGAGAGGACCGGATATCCAATCAAGAACGATTGACAAGTCCCACGGGAGAGTAATCCACCGGACAGTCGGACGGATTCTGTCCATGCCTGCTAAAAAGCGCTGCACAAGAGGGTGCTGCCCCAAGAAAGCACCGTCGGCAGGTACATGGAAGGCAGAGATTGCCGTGGAGTAGCCCTGGATAAGCCCCGTGGCTAAGCCTGCCTCTAACCGAAACTGTAAAAACTCCAGCACTTCAACTACAGTTGAAGAAAAGGGATCGAGAATCCCTCTGCCGACACACCAGCGCGTATAACAGGCCCATCTATCCTCATATTGAACGTTTGTCGAATCCCTCTGCGAAATGTGTCTGCAACTGGTGCAGGAATTCCCCTCACTTGGAGGCGATTCCGGACAGTGGACAGGCCACCCAATGAATCCTGGGTAGGTCCGGTCGAAAGGGTAATAGTACAGGAGGCTGAGCCAGAAACCTGAGTAGTACCGGAAACCTCCTTTGAGCCGAGGTGCAAGGACCACAAGCAGTCGAGCTGGTTGGGTGGCAAGCTGCGAGAGGACCTTGGGAATCAGGGGTAATGGCGAAAACGCCCACAGAACCCTGTCCGTCCAATCGAGCTGAAAAGCGTCCGAGGCGATGGCTCTCGGATCCGGCAAAACACCGGAATCTGGTTCGTCCCTCCAGAAGCAAACAGATCCACCTGGAACGACCCAAACAACTGGGAGATAATCCCGAATATCTCCCGATTTAGCATCCACTCATGCGGGCCAGGATACGTCGAGAGAGCGTGTCTGCTCAAACGTTGTCCGCCCCGGGGAGATGAACAGGCATCACCTGTATGTCGAACTGGTTGCACCAGAGAGAGACGGGAAACCACAAATGAAGAATTAGCCACCCCAGAGTGTGGAGAATCAACTCGTAACTCTGGGAGTGAACCCACATTCGAGCCAAAGCTTGCTGAATGGGTCGCATCCTCAACCGCATTCGCCAAACATTGTCCACTGTTGCCGCCTTGTTGCCTAGCAACTGGGGCCAAGTCGAGCTGAGGCCCTGGGGAATTCGAGAAATTGTAACACAACTCTCTGGACTTTGGTGACGCGGTCCAGAGAGAGGGAGACTACACCTCGCTCCCAAGAAAACCAGATCCTGGGTGGGAACCAGTTCTGACTTCTTGAGATTGATAATCCAACCTAACTTGGTGAGTATACTCATCACGGAAAGTGTCGCAACTCGACTCAAGTGAGTGGAAAGTGCACGAAGAAGCCAATCGTTTAGGTACGGGTGACAGCACCTGCCCTGTGACCTGGCTACCTGCGCTGGAATTAGCATGAGTTTGGTGAACACCCTTGGTGCCGTGGAGATCCCGAAGGGGAGCACACGAAGCTGATAGCACCTCCCGTCGAAGGAAAACCTTAGGTATTTCCTGAACTCAGGGTGCATTGGGACATGGAGGTACGCGTCTTTGAGGTCGATTGACGTGAGCCAATCTCCCTTTTCCACAGATGAGAACGCAGTGTCTCCATCTTGAAGGACGGTACCTCTATCAAGTCGTTCAGACCTATGAGATTTAAAATAGGTCTGAACCCTCCGTCCTTTTTGGTGACAAAGAAATAGGTCGAGTAATAACCCGCCTCTTCCTGTCCCACTGGAACCACCTCGATGGCTGCCTTGTCCAGTAATGACTGGACCTCGGCACGGAACGCCTCTGCTTTCTCCGGGATTGCCAGCACTGGAGTGCAACGGATCCCGGAGAAGGGAGGTGGGTCTCACTTCCACTGTGGCATGTGGCCTTCCCTGAGTGTGGACAGGACCCAGGGATTGGAGGTGACCTTTTCCCATTCTGACAGGAAGAGAGTAAGTTGACCGCCCACAGGGATATTTGTCATGAGGCAATGAATCTGGTACCGACAAGAGCTCCCGGAGGAATTATTGCGTGGAAGCCAGGGCTGACTTCCCCTTCCTCTGAACAGGCTATTGGGGCGTCACAGCCTTGCCCTTGCCCTTGCCCCTGCCTCTGCCCTTGCGACTGTAATGGCTGAGCCCATTTAACAGGTTCCTTCGCCGAGGCAGAAGGATAAGTGGAGACAAGTGCCAGGGGCCGCACGCAAGACGAGTGAGGCTGCTCCAACAAGGGCTTAGAGTCCTCGAAGGTTGACATAGCCTCCGCGGCCTCCTGGACTACTGTAGCTGCCTCAGGGAACAGGGTAGAACCCATCCGGAATGGCAACACCAGTAGTGCCTGTTGCGTGGCGGGAGAGTACCGCGCAACAGAGTGCCAAAGGTGACGGAGGCCCATAACTGCAGACATCATTTGACAAGCAGACAACCTAATAGAGTCGTGCGCCAGATGTGACTGGACCTATGTCAACTGTTCAGCCAAGGTGGAGGGAGACGCATCTTCCTTGACCCCGCCCACATCCACTAATTGCCTCTGCAATACTGAGATATAGGCTGAATGGATGGTAACCTTGAGGTACTGGAAAGGAGCGATACGCGGACTTGAGTGCTGTGGCACTAGCGGTGAATGGCGGAAGCCGACGGCCTTGCTTGGCGGAAGCAAGCGAGCTACCAGATGAACCCCCCAGGGCAACTGATGTATAGACACAATCGGCAACCACTGGGGGATTATATAGACCGGCCTCACCCATGAGGTACCGACGGTCCAGCTCGGGCAAGTTGAACCTGGACCTGGTACCACTGAAGAGTGGGTTAAAAACTTCAGATAGGACTGAAGGCAAAATGCGAAGCTGTGATTCTGCCACCTTAGTAGGAGCGAATGCCTCCCCGGGGAGGCGAAACTCCTTAGGGTCCCGCACCTGTCTCAGGGACGCACCGAGCGATATTGATGGTGTACCTGACCCTCATCCTCCTCCATAGCCTTCTCGAACCTATCCTCCTGGAGCGAAGTCTCTGTGTCTAGAGATAGCTCCAAGGGGTCTAGGGAGAGTGACAGAGGCTCGAGCAGAGTACGACCAACCCAAGACTCGACACTGAGTCACGGTGGCGAGACGAGGAAGAGCCCGACATGGAATTCCCCAATGGCAAACCAAACAGCGCTGACACCGAATGGCCCAGCAAAACCAGGCGCAAGCGGTGGGGCCAAATGCAAGGGGGTAGTGGAAACTACGGGACAGTACCCGTAGCACCGGCACCAACTACCGACCCAGACCCAGAGCAGAGGCTCGGACTGGCAGTAAGCACATACCCCACCATACCTGGACGGACGCCAATCTCCTGACGGGGACAGAACAACGCGTCAGATATGAGCAAGTGAACCGACACCATTTGTTGCTGTAAAAGATCAGAGATTAGTTCAAATGTAAATGGATTTGAAACAGGGACATTTGGAGAGGAAGGTGCCTGTGAAGTGGAAGGAATGGCTGGTGAAGGGACCGAAGATCCCGTTTAGACACTGTATCCCCTGATACAGACGCAGAAGAAGAGGAACTCTTCTTTTTCTTAGCCTTTCCCTCCCCCCCCTCCCACCGCCTGAAGCAAAGACATGTAGAACATCATGTCCGCTATGTCTCGACTTGATGGAACCAGGGAAAATGCCTGACACATGGTACAACCCTGGTCATCATGGGCTTCCTCCGCCAAACAACGCAAACATAGAAGGTGGCGATCCTGAGGCGATAATGTAGCGCTAGGGATAACACACCCCTTGGACTGCAAAAACCAGAACCGCGCTATGACTAATAGCAAGGACTGTTTAACTTAGTGGAATATGCACACAATAATACCGAAAAATACAATGCACGGGCGATATTTAACTGCTACAGCAAAGCTATTAAAATACTAGCATAAAGCAACAATAGCGAAGCCTAATTGTGCACATAACTAACAAAGAGCAACATTTGTGAGCGATACGAAACGAACACGCTACAAAATCACTCTACCATAACTTACAAAACACCACTGAAAAGAGGAATTTAGGCAAGCATAACCTACGTAATGAAATATGAAAACCTTACAACCCGACTTCAATGGCTTACAAAGCCAGCAGAAGGGATAAAGAAGGGCTCACGCGGTCTGCCATCTTGCCTGCCACATGGCTGGAAACAGCAAACACACCAGCAAAGTTACAACAAATCATGAATGAAAAAAGTCATACGAAGATTCCAGCTGTGCGAAAAAGAAGGAACCATACATACAGAATTCAACTCTTTCTCACTCATTTCTCTTTCGTAGATAGGCGAAGACGTGTCTTCTACTGGACCATGCACAATCGTTCTTGACAACGACAGCATGAAAAGTGAGGTACGAGGTAAGCAACCAGATTTACCTGCTCTTGGCAGTAGGGGGCCCTGTGAGTGGCCCTGTAGGGGTGGTCTCACTAAACAAAACGAGTTTTTTGTTTGGTAAATTATTTTATTGAAATATTGTTACAACTCTCGTAGGTATTTTAAAATGGACATTTTAATGCTTATATGTATCCCAAGGAGGACTTCTTCTGAAAAAGAATCAACTGTATGACAGCAGTCTGTGAACAATCGTGTCTGGACCAGACTGTCAGTATGTCAAACAATGTTAAACGTGTCAAGAATGTTGTCATGATCTGATTCTACATGGAAATATACCTCAATCATCAATGAACCTGAACCTGACAGACTATTAATGACTATGTTTATAATCCTAATTACACATACATCAGACGACATACTTGAAATGTCTATTAACATGATTTACATGCTGCACAGTATAACCAGTATACCGGTAAGTGGCAAGATTTATCTCCATATGCTGAGTAGCCAAACTGTAGCCACAACTGTAGAGTAAATGTCGGCCAACTTCCCAAATTGGAATCAAATATCTCCAGTTGATGTTCCGAATGTTTTCAGTAGTGTTATGACTTCATAGGGTTGACTGTACACACTGATAACAAGACCCCAATAAAGTGAGTGAGTGAGTTTAGTTTTACACCACACTCAGCAATATTCCAGCTGTATTGAGGGGGTCTGTAAATAATCAAGTGTGGACCAGACGATCCAGAGATTAACATCATGAGCATTGATCTACTCAATTGGGATATGATGACATGTGTTGACCAAGTCAGCAAGCCTGACCACCCGATCCCGTTAGTCGCCTCTTACAACAAGCATGGGTTACTGAAGACCAAATCTAACCCGGATCTCTACAGATAGACCCCAATATAGAGGATTATACCACAGGATTTAGGAAAATAAGAAATGTCGTTTCCACCAAATATGCACCTTTTCCAGTTTGCCTATAAAGTGCACATGGTTTAGAATTCTCGAGAAATCCTTGTTGTTTCATCGGCTTAGGTATGCTGACATAGCATTTTGATTACAGTCTATCTGGAGACATTTACTTAGAGACATGGAAGGATCCCATAACATTCATTCCCAATTTTGAACACTGACATCCCCTTAACATTGCTAACATCGAATATGACATTCATCAAGCTCACCGCTATTGTTAATATTCCCCATCCGGTTTCGTCTCAGCCCTGATGCCCGTGCATGTCTTCGACTGCCAGTGCGATTCCTCATTGGCTGTGGAGTGATCGACAGATCAAACTCGGGCCGCCGATTAACTGCAAGGTTGAACACACCCAGCGGGATAATATCAGGAGATGGTGACCTCTCCGGTCTTCCAACATCAACAGAAATTGGATGTGTCGGTTCTATGTGAACAGTCTCCCGCCTTGCAACATCATGGGTAGGAGTCTGAAAACGACAGTTATTATGCATTCCATTCACACGGTTCTGGGGAGAACAAAAAGTAGGACTTTCGGACCTCGTTAGGTCAATACTGTGAATAATGTTATTGGGTTTTGTATTGTTAACATGTACGGTTTGAGACGGCGTGGAAAATTCAGCACTGGTCCGATACACATTGTTCTCAGGTCTGTTGAAGGTCAGATTGGTGTTATAACAACAGGTTTTTCTAGCATTCCCAGAGCTATCAACCCTGTCAACATTTGAAGGCTTCGGTCCTCCAGGTGGCAGCTGATTGAGAAAGGAAGACTCAGATATGCTAAAAGTCCTGGGAGCAGGGTTATCTCCCCTGTGTACTGGTGGCGTACACATTATCACACTATCATTGTTTGAAGAATTCAGAGAATCATTCAACAGGGAAGTAGGTGAACGGAATGAATTGTTCCTCGCAAAGCGGCACGATGGACGAGACTCTTGTTCTCCTAAAACCTGATGCTCCGATTGAGATCTCTGAAAATTAATACTACTGGCTGGTTCGGTACAACTATCAAACAAAGATGGTCGAATTTTCTTGCTGTCCTTTTTCCGAAACAAATTCCTGCGCCTATTCAAAGCCAGCTGCTTGAGCGTTGCATCTTCACCGACTTCACAATCCCTGTTTTCCTTTTTCTGCCTCGTATCTTCAGACGCATGGGTCTCGTATTTTCAGCGGCATTGCTGTCAAGCGTCTGGTGACCTTCAGGCTTAGGACTCACAAACTCGGCCACACTGAGTTTACTTGAGTCCCCCTTCCCCTCACACTGTACCTCAGTCTTGACCTTGACCTCTGAGACATAACTGGCCTCGCTGCCTATAACTGCAGCCACAGAATGACTAGGAACAGCTTCCTTCATCTGCCTGCTCACAGACGGATTTTTCACAATGTTATTTCTCATTTCAAGTCTATCACTACCCGGGTCTATAGATACTTTAGATGAAGACTGTTTAACTTTCGAGTCATGTAGAACTGCACGTAGAGGAATACTGTCACCATCATCATCACTCTCAGATTCAGATTCTGATGGCCAACCAAGATACCCAGTTCCAAAGTGAGCATATTTGTAACCATTTGTTGGAGACTGTGTTGGGTTTCTATCTTCACGATCAGAATCTGATTCAATTTTTGCCAACCTCTTTTCCCGTGCGACTCGAAGTTTCTCAAAAGCTTCTTTCCGCTCTCTGTTCTTAAGATCAGCAGGTTTAAAGGGGGAGATGAATCGATCAAGACTCTTCTGCATGGCCCGGGATCTTTTAGAGTCTGAGTCATCTTCTAAGCTGGGGTGGACCTCTCGTTCCCGCTTGTTCTTACACCGCTTAAACACTGGGCTGAAGCAAACAAAATGAATTCAAAACCTTTTTTTCAACATACAACCCCAATAATTAGGCTAGTCACTATATTCAAGCACAGGTGAAATAGGAAATCTTACCATCATAATGAGTAGGTGTGAAAGCAACTGACGGATTATCTTGACAAAGATATTTCTAATCGAATTAATCTTGTATCTTGTACCATGTAAAGCACAGGATAGGATTCCCATGACAAGCTGATTACCATGATCCCAGGAATCAAATGTTTAAGTCTGTGTTCAGATATAACTGACCCATTACTGTATGTTGATTGGTTGGTGTTTAACACAGCACTCAGCAATATTCCAGCTATATGACGGCAGTCTGTAAATAACTGAGTCTGGACCAGACAATCCAGTGAGCAACAGCATGAACATCAATCTATGCAATTGGGATACAATGACATGTATCAGCCCGGTCAGCGAGACTGACCATCTGATCTTGTTAGTCGCCTCTTACAACAAGCATGGGTTGCTAAAGACCGATTCTAACCTGGATCTTCACGGGTCATTACTGTATGAATTTGCTCTCACAAGCACCCAAGAATTCACCTTGCAAAAAGGCAAATGATGTAAGCCCAACAGTATTTCATACAACCCTGGGCTGTTTGTCATATTAGCTACATTTAAAGTACAAAAAACACATTATACACACAAATATAGAGACTGTTGTGTAAGCTTTTGGACACAGTTCAGCACTGACAAACATGAAAAGAGCCAATAGTGGGACCAGGGTCACATATTCACATAATTAGGAGTGGGGCATTTAATCCTTTTAATATGGTGACTATGGTACCAATACAAAATATACATGATATGAGGTAGGTATGAGATGAACCCAAAGATTTTGCTCCAGCCAGAGGTCAGCTTTCAAAAATGATTTATCTCCATTTCTTTCCCACTATGATATGGAAACTTTCATTTGTACAAAGGAAAACCTACACAATTATTCTTATGGATGGGGCACAGAATAGACAGGGTGTTTAAACTAACCCTAACAATGCAGCTGTATCTATTTATATTCAGGGCTTGTCATTTTATTTAGTTCATTGAAGACACAGACATTTACTGACATTTCAAAACCACAATGATGTTTTAGCATGTTTTATACATTCTGGTACTACTCAGAAGAGGACAATAAGCCAATCAGAAGAGATGAGCATGTACTGTATGTTCTGGTACCATTCAGAAGAGGTGTACCATAAGCCACTGAGCATGTACTGTATGTTCTGGTACCATTCAGAAGAGGTGTACCATAAGCCACAGAGCATGTATCTATGTTCTGGTACCATTCAGAAGAGGTGTACCATAAGCCACAGAGCATGTATCTATGTTCTGGTACCATTCAGAAGAGGTGTACCATAAGCCACTGAGCATGTACTGTATGTTCTGGTACCATTCAGAAGAGGTGTACCATAAGCCACAGAGCATGTATCTATGTTCTGGTACCATCTAGAGCATGTTCTGGTTCCATGTACCAGAAGTTCTGTACCATCAGCCACTGTGTACCATAAGCCACAGAGCATGTATCTATGTTCTGGTACATTCATTCAGAATGATCTATGTGGTACCATTGAGGTGTACCATAAGCCACAGAGCATGTATCTATGTTCTGGTACCATTCAGAAGAGGCATACCATAAGCCACAGACCATTATCAAATGTTGTGGTATCATTCGGAAGAGGTATACCATAAGCCACAGAGCCACAGAAGAGATGTACCATGAGTGTGTGCATGAAGAAAAATATCTTCCTGACATAAGAAATCTGAAGGATTACCTTGTATTATTTCTGAAAAAAAAGAGTCCTGGAATCCCCAAAGCCCTTCTACAATCTGGTCTAAGTTCTTGTCAATGCTTTCATTTGTTCATTTTCTGGGATCAGCAAGGAATCTAACAATGTGTATGTCTACATCTGTAAATCAGATTTACCTTGGTGTTTCTGGGATGAGTAAGGAGTCATATGATGCACCGTGCGGTGTCCCAGACTCAGATGATTCACCATCTGCATCTCTAGCCTCCTCTGGACCGCTGTCTGATAAGCTGCGACTCAGTACTGGTCGAGATGGCTTCTTGGTCAATCGACTGAACAGGGACTCATTCAAATCCATTATTACTGAAAAATATTTCAAGGATTCATTTACAAACCAAACAAAGACAAGACAAGAGTCATCAGAAGATGACAAATCCCCCTGGCCCCCATAAATTTGAAAGAACAAATCAACTGATAGTTACTTAAAGTCCAGTTTTTGGGGACTAGGTCCAAATTGTTTCCAAGGAAATCATGAAAAATATAAATGCCAAAAATCTGTAAATAGCAAAAGGCAATACTTCAAGATCTGATATATCTGTCAAGTCTTGTAGAAAGATATTGAACGGTTTTCAAGTTGTGATCCAGAACGAAACCCACCCCTCCCTTTTGAGACTAAGTCCGAATCGTTTCCATGGAAACTGGGAAAAATAGAAATGCCAAAATCTGCAAATAGCAAAAAGCACCACTTTAGGTTATCTGATATATCTACCAAGTCTTGCAGAAAGATATTGAACGGTTTCCGAGTTGTGCTCCGGAAACGAAGCCTACCCCTCTCTTTTGAGACTATGTCTGAAATGTTTCCATGGAAACCAAGAAAAATACAAATGACAAAAATCTGTAAATAGCAAAAGGCACCACTTTAGGTTCTGTTTGATATATCTACCAAGTCTTGCAGAAAGATATTGAACGGTTTCCGAGTTGTGCTCCGTAAAACGAAGTCCATGCCTCTGTTTTGAGATTAAATTCAACTCATTATCATGGAAACCAGCAAAAGGCACCACTTTAGGTTCTGTTTGATATATCTACCAAGTTTTGTTGAAAAATATTGAAAGGTTTTTGAGTTATGCTCCGGAAACAAAATGATTATGGACGGATGGACAGACGGACGAAAATATCCTAAAAATCTTAAAAAGAAACTCAATAGCTTAACCCTCAACTTCAGCATGTTCCTGTTGCAAAAATAATGAGAATATTTTCATGAGTAATGCTTTGGAAATTATCCCTACCATTGTTTCAAATCCAACTTGTTGCCATGGAAATGAAAAAAAGATTAAATTAAAACAGTTGTCATGTACAATGCCAGTGAGACTCGGCATGTATGTTAAACACTTCAAACAAACTTGTGTGATCAGTTGAGAAACCAACACAAATTATACTGGACAAAAATAGTTAGGGATATATGTAAATTTGGAAATTATGAATAATGATCTATTTATTCATTGACACACTGATAAAATAGCAATCATAAAAATACCAAAATCCCTATTGTCCAGTATATAATAACCACAAGAACTACATACATTAAAAAATATTAGACTGTAAGACATGTAACATTTCTTTGGACAGCTGACAGCTGTATGGGTGCTGTTCCTTTAAGTGGATACTGATGATTACATTTCTCAAATGGGGCAGTGGGGTAGCCTAGTGGTTAAAGAGTTTGCTCATCATGCTGAAGACCCAGGTTCGATTAACCACGTGAATACAATGTGTGAGACACCATATTGCTGGAATATTGCTAAGAGTGGCGTAAAACCATACTCACTCGCATTTCTTAAACAAGGTAATTGCCTAATATTATTATATTAACTCATGTCGGTTGAAATTACGATATGTGCATGTTGTTTTCATTAATTTGCTTTAATATGACAATTCCTTTCTGTTATCTTTGGCAAGTTCTTCCGTGCCAGACTGACACCCATAAGGAATTGTTTACACACACCTAATCTTGTAGGCGTGTAAAATTTACAGTCTGGATGGGAATGTGATTTACTTTATAAAATGTCTTAACATTTCAGCAGTTTCACACACTGATTGAAAAATCTTAAACATCTTATCCTGTAGAATTGTGCCAGATAAATCCCCTTTCAGGCACTATTTTCATCATGCTCATATATCTTGATTTGAAGGTTCATGGGTCAGTAGATCCTTGTTTTTGTCTAGAATATATTGAACAAAACATGCAAAAAAACTAAGGTATGGAATATTCTTTTCATCATGTTCATGTTGCATTACATGTCTCATCTGTTTAATAGAAATTGACTGCAAAAAACGTCAGTTGATCATTTAGTTATGGAACTTTGTTTCAAGCATTTGGTCACATTCAAATGTCCATGACTTTCTATGCTATACTGAGGTTCAGTAATTAATAAGCTATACATATATTTGCAAATTTTATGTTCAACTGTGCATGTTATCGAAGATCTGCGGGTAGGAACATTAAACAAACATGGCCGACCAGTATCAAATACATACACAGATTATAAATGAGAGTGGGTTACTTCTTTCTGTCAATAATAACAGCATCACTCGAATAGCTGCACTTGTCTTATTCATACAGTATCCATACCAACATGACAGGGCCGATATGGTCACTAAGCTCTGAACCTGGCTACGTGAATAAACAATGTAATGAATGTATGCAGCTGCATCATCGTGCACGCTTCAGTGATGATCGGGTCATGTATAAACATGGTTTTGGAAATTACAATGCAAACTGTAAACATGACTAAAGACACGCGCTGTACAACTTTGAGCGTCTGTTACGACTATTTAGTAACTGCATTTGCAAATTTACTGTTTTGAGATCCGAAAGAACGGGTCATTTGATCAGCAATATCGGGCTATAGTATACACAAAACAAATACATTTCCCCAAATCCGGCAAGAGGGAGTTCCCGATGAGGCGATCTCCGTTCCTGTGATATAAACTTCGTGTCAAAAAATCTTACTTTTCGTGAAATATGTAATTATATTGGAACACTGCAAAGTTCTAAAATGACGTCCGCCATTACTGAAATACAGAACCAATGAGATCAGCTGTTACAGGTTTCATCGCACGTTTCGTCGAAATGTTTAGCTCAGCAGGAAACGAAACGGGATCAAGAACCGTTTGTCTGTTTTCAGGAGATATCAACAGACCATTACCAGCAATCGTTTCAGACCTGTCAGACAATCGAAAATTTAACTATGTTGTATTTCTCAGTCTCAAAGTTGTTTTGTGTCACGAGAAGAACCACATTTTTCAAGATTTTAGAATGGTTAATTATACTTTCCATTAAGTTAAGTAAGGTTTCAACAGAAATTTCACGGTTAGCAGCAAGAAAAGGAAACAGCAATTGCAACAGTTATACTATAAATGATGTGAAAAGCTGAGCACGAATCATTTGTGTGGTGATATACAGATGGACAATGCCTCACTCTGGGCTTGGTCGTTTCCGTTCCGTTAAAATCATGTAAAAGCTATATAGGTGAGTGGGTCAGGTTTTTCTGCGTATAGAAACCGGCGGTGACAGGCCGGGAAAGCCACATTTCACAAATTACTATTGCCGGGAAGGCCATATTTCAATTACATGGCTGTAGCCGGTAAAGCCACATTTCCAATAGATTAATTAATTAATGGATTACCGTAACCGGTAAAAGAGCGTCCCCATGTATTATATTGTAACAACCAGAAACGAATAATCTTTCCTACTCACAAGCGTGGTGTTTAGAAGAAGAACAGAATTTATTTTTGGACTTGAACAAATGTTTTCCTCGTCCCACAAACACATGGTGTACAGGCATGTAAAGGACATAGGATATATTTACAGCCAATTTATGGAGGCTGGACAATGTATTGTGTTTGAGTTCTTACTTCATTAGAAAGTTTAATGTATTTATAGTCTATAGCTAAGTTTCGCAAGGCCGATTTATTGGAATATCTAAACAGTGACATAAACTTGGTCTAACCTAGTCTGTCGTACAGATCCTGAAGCAAATATATCCTAGAAAGCCGACGCAAGTCTAGAAAATGTGGCAAGTCTAGATTTCCTCAGCTTCAGGGTCTGTACCAATCTGCTGAATTCACAAGCCAGAATATGGCTTGTAAAAATGCATGACATTGTTTTGACAGCATAGCCGGGAGAGCCACATTCCATGTTCACGCAACCATAACTATTGCCGGGAGAGCCACGTCAATTTTGGCTATCGGTTTTGGAAATGTGGCTCTCCCGGCCTGTAACCAAACCGGCTGTTATGGAGGAATCGAACTTACAGATAGAAGATGTTTTCACTGCCCAAATCGAGTTGAATCGGAACTGCATTTTATTTAAATGTCCACTTTACGACGATTTAAGAGAAGACCTTTTAACATTAGCAAAGTTTTTCATGCCACGTTTTACCCTCTTATCGGAACCTGAGAAGTTATCACACGTTTAAGATCTGAAGATTTTATAAACGTATGTGCCAAAAACGTTTAAGACGCCAGCAAATTTTATATAAATAATTTTGAGATTTCATGTGTATGTGTTGTATATAATATTCAATTGTCGTTTTATCTGCTTATATGCATCCTTCATATTGCTCTGTGATAGTCAATTATTAACTGTACCTCAAAACTCCATTGGAGTCGCATATGTGAATTTATCATTTTTACTGAGAGAGAGAGTGTGTGTGTGTGTGTGTGTGTGTGTGTGTGTGTGTGTGCAAGGGTGCGCACACGCAGACACCTTTTTTGTCCTGAAAGTTTATTATATGACCATTGGTTTGTTAGCTTCAAATAATTTTGGCATATGATATCAAATCGCAGTCTTAGGCATACTTTGTGTGTTTAAGCAAATAATGTCATGGGCTCTGAAGCTCACCCTGTCGATTTTATAAAGGATTAATTTAATCTTGTAAGAAATTCTCACCAATTCATTAACATATATGTTTTAATCTAAATCATTTACGGAGATGATTACTGTTCTCTTAATAACGGTTGGGAGAGAGAGAGCAATTTGGGTTGATGTCGAATGAGTGAGTGAGTATATTGCTTGACACAGCATCAGCAATTTTGTACACATGTTGTAGGGAGGGGTCAGCTATTTCGTACATGAAAATATTAAAACAGTTATGCTTGGGAAGGGGCGCATTGATATTGTACATGACATGCAAGGCGGTAGTCGCTCGCTTACTTTGTACATAAATCTTGGGGGCATTTACATTGTACATGCATCTCCATAAAAATATCATACCCCCACACCCCGCCATAAATTATGAACATTCGCTAAATGTATACAGTGACAATGTACTACAGATATCGATTTTTATCTCACTTACATTACACTTTTTCTATACTTCCACTGCCAATTTTTATTAAATAACAACAGTATACATTCACTGGCGTTAACACAGCCTTCGTTTAAGACTAACTGTTGTCACTGGGGGACAACGTTCACCTTGAAAACAAGGTATCTTCGAATGACGTTTTAAAAATATTATGCAGTTTTATTCTAAAAAACAAGTTTTCCATGCAACCATGCAGTTATTAATTGGCTTGTTAATTATACGCTCGGTAATTTCATCTTGATGCTGAACGCTTTTCGCTGCCCAGTACTTTTGGCGACCTATGGTAGACTAAACAATATGATGCAGTATGTGAATTCCCGTTTTAATGAATCCTGTTGAAACACTGTCAATATTACAGCCTGCCTGCATGAAAGTAAAGCGTAGCGCAGCATACTCAGGGAACCAGGCTGTATAGAGGCTCACAAACACTTTGTCACACAGACTGTCCATTTTAACTGAATGTGAAATGCAGCGGTTCGTAACCTATCCTATATAATTGATCTGAACGTTTAACCAATATAAATAATGCCTTTTTAATAGGTCTATAGACTAACATCTAGCCTCTGAAATAGACACATTTTACAGAAAAAATGGTTCCTAAATGATATTCCTAAGATATAATAAAAGGAGCCCAAAGACTTTCTTCATGCCAGATATTCCAGATTTGCATTGACTGTATTGGGTATATTTGTTTCAGGGCCTGAATGGCAGGCTAATGGATGGTTTGAGTGAGAGAGTAAGTTTGTTTTCATGCCGCATTGAGTGTCATTTAAGAAATCAGGGAGTCCCCAAAGGCTCGAAGAGATACACTGTGCACAATCAGACATCTAAACATTTGCCAGTTCAGTGCAAAGGGGCGGTGGCATAGCCTAAGACCCGGGTTCGATTCCCCACATGGTTACAATGGGTGAAGACCATTTCTGGTGTCCCCCGCCATGATAATACTCGATGACAAGGATACGTCTATAATTACAATAAATTGCATTGTGTAATCTACTGTGTCATAGTATTACTCATGTATTCCTCGTTCAAACCTACCCGTGAAGGTCCGGATGATCCTTCAGTAACCCATGCTTGTCGTAAGAGGCGACTAACGGGATCGGGTAGGCTCGCTGACTTGGTTGACACATGTCATCGGTTCCCAATTGCGCAGATGGATGCTCATGCTGTTGATCACTGGATTGTCTGGTTCAGACTCGATTATTTACAGACCGCTGCCATATAGCTGGAATATTGCTGAGTGCGGCGTAAAACTCAACTCACTCACTTACTTGTTTAAACCTGCATATTTTGAATTTCCCGCGTGTAAATGCGTATTAGTACAACAACCGATGCAGTTAAATGAACCAGTGTAGTATTTGTTTTCTATTCTAATGCACTCTTCTTTATAAAACAAGACTATAAAAACCTTGTATTATATACGAAAACTATTTGTCTCAAGAACCTGCGTCACTCAAATGCACACTAATCGCAGAATCGAATATTTGTTGGCAATCAGTAGTTGTATGTATGTAGTATTTAATTCACTTCCGGTAAGGAGCACCTGCATTTCCTGGAGACGCATAAACAATGTCGGACTAGCGGGCTTTCACCGTTGTTGATCACCAATAACACAAAGGTAGGTAAACTATGGTGATTATCTAAATATTAAATCACCAAATCTTCCGCTGTCGACATTTCCGTCCCGGAAAATAGATATAATCAGCAATTAATTGTAAGTACAGGACATCCAGCTTTTGAGTATAATTTCAGCGTCACTGGGAGTTGGTATAGTGACAGTGATTATCAATTACCTTACTCGTAATAGATACTTGTGATTCCATTTCATCAACAGAAGTGATTTTAGTTTTGTTTTCACACTGCAAGAATGTCGATACTAATGATGATTTATAGTATTCATAATAAATGGTAACTGATCCCAGTGTAACATATGTAAATGTTTGTTGTGAACTTCACGGGTTAACTCGACTCACATGACAATTGCTATGCGTAGCATACAACATAATGTTTGTTGTTATAGTGTTACGGCTTTACTACAACAGGAACACATGTTGGATTAAACATGTCATATATTAATCAACCTCCAGCTTATGAGCAGGGGATGATGAATTCCTACTTTTTCCACTCAAATGAAGTTACAGAACACATGATTCTTTCACATTACTGTGGAAATATAAAAGGAATAGGTGTTTAAATATTTTATATTCTCTTATTAATGTGGTAGAAATGTTAGGGTATGAAATAAATGGACACGATAACAAATCATACAATAAATGCATCTTCTAAGCACCAAAACTTGAGGTCCATGAAACTAGATATACATCTCTCATTTTCATAACATTTCTTAAACCAAACTTATTGTGATGAATAATTTATCACAAGGATATGGTACTTGTCATTTATAATCATTACTATCCCAAAGGAAATTTGGGGTTATATCGTCAAAAGATTAGAGCAAAAAGTTACAGATTCATGATCATAGGTAATTACACTTAAAACTCATGGGTCAAAATGGAAATGTTAGCACAAATCTAATAAACAATAACTTATAAAAGGTGTTTTAAAGGGAAGCATGTGAGAAATATATGAAAAGGTGTTAATGTACAGACAAAATATCACATACATGTAGTTTGATTTTTCAAGTGAACAAATAATGACTGGTACAAATGATTGATGAGCTCTGTTTTTTAAAGGAAAGCCAAT